TTTATTTTTTATTTTATTTTATTTACTTCAGCTGAAAAAGTGTGTGGCGGGGAGGAGGCATGGCCCACACTGTACCCATGGCGGTTACGCCCATGGAAGGCAGCTATTGAGGACACAAGACTGAGCTGAAGAGATTGAAGCCAACTGCGAAAATGCATGAGAGGGAGGCACGGGATCAGATGGATAAATAAAATATGAAGCGCTTTAGACAGGAGAATTCTCATAGAACTACAAATACACTACTATATCCTCTTGTCAAGGACACTCCTTCACATGATGCTATGAAAACACAACACATCAGTATAATCTGGTAAACATAAACCACTACATTGAGATCAGGGAAGTGTCCTCCATTTTCATAAAAGCAAAGCTTGACATTACACAACCCTCTCAGTCACCTGATCCACCTCATGTGGACTGACCGATGAGGAGAAGATCTCAACTCATGTTCACAGTGACAGGCAGCCTCTCTGTGCAGCACAAGAGCTCCAACAGACAGTTTAACAAATGCAGGAGAAAACCAGACATTTTGCTGGTGCCTTCACTCAAGAGTGTAACCATCATCTCAGAAGAGAGGGGGACACATTTTTTAGAGGTCTATTGAGTGATTTATCATCCTCTCTTATTAAATCACACCTCTCCTTAGTGGCTAAAGCACATAATTACTGACAGCCACAGTACAGTTCCACTGACTGACTTTAGTTCTTTAAACTAWTTACTAACAAAATCTGAAGTTTTAGCAGCCAAAACGTAGCCAGATGGAAAACACCATTACTGTAAAGCAAACATAGACTTGAATAAGAACACTAGACTAAGCTTTGCCCATCCTGTCCACTGGTAGTGTCTGTAACAACATGGAGGAGCAGAAACAGACCAAACAGGTCAACAGCTCACAGCCTCCATAGAAACTAAAAGATAAACAACAAGCTGAACTGGATCTGTTTCACAGATTATCTGTCATGTTTTTACAATAAATTAATAACTATGTTAATTTCATTCAACAATCATGTAAAACAGCAGATTTATACCAGAAAAAATATAATTYATAAGTAACAATGATCTAAACCAGACCTGAAGTCAGCCTGTAACTTAGACTTTAGCTAGTTGAAAAATGATGACTTCAGCTGTAATAAAGTATATTCATTACTTCTTCTCACTGTCATAAAAAATAAGAATATTTATATTTACCAGTCAACAGTTAGAAAATGTTCTCTGGTTATAGGATAAAACTTGTCTCTATTAACATCTTCTTAACAAGTCAGGTTCCTCTAACAGAAACCTAAAAGTACTCACATTTATAATATTATTTTACACTCTGTAGGTCTAAATATTAATCAGACATTTAAAAATATTATTTTACACTCTGTAGGTCTAACTATTAATCAAATACATTTATAATATTATTTTACACTCTGTAGGTCTAACTATTAATCAAATACATTTATAATATTATTTTACACTCTGTAGGTCTAACTATTAATCAAATACAT